CCCCAAAACCCCAAAACCCCAAAACCCCAAAACCCCAAAACCCCAAAACCCCAAAACCCCATTGCTAATTATGAATATTGGGTGACCAATATAATAACTATTAGTGATGAAGTCGCTGAGAAGTCTTCAGACCAGATTTTCTTATCCATCTTTGAAAAAATCGTTGCAAAAATGGAGGAAACACTGGGTAAATATTTCTCAGGTCAGAGCCTCATAGTTATGGCCAGAAGGGGCTTTTTAACTTCAAACTAATTCAGAATTTTGCATATTCTTATGACACATGGACCTTCCTTTCCTACTGGATGAAGGTATCCTTAATCACCGTGTCACGATGTTAGTAATAGATATTATCGAAAAAGTTAACCAATCTCCCAGGTCAATAATGGAGGACATGTCGCACGACAAGATAGCCAGTACTAGCCCGTTTAGTTCATAGACTATTAAGCAGCCTTCCCTTACTGCTTGCCTCCCAGACCCAATGTTGGAAATAAGAATTTAATTTTGATTTCTTATAGGATAAGAATTAGTAGAGCAACTCCAGGAGGAGTCGTTAAAGGGATATGGGAGCTCAATTGAGCAAGTTAATGGTTGGTAAGGGACTTGAATACTATTGAGAGGGATATACTCTCAAAAGCAATAATTTTGCAAAGGACTGATGAATCCTCATGTCTCAGGCATGGTCTGAGGTAAAAACAGGCTAGGATAGTGATCTTCAGGTGAAGATACTCCTACAGCCTTCCTCTTTGATTTAACCTTAGCCTTCGAGTTCGGATCATTAATGTGCTCTTTCTTGTGAATCGAAAGTTTGCCGGCTTGTCTAAATGACTTGTTGCATCCGGGGAACTTGCAAACAAAAGGTCTCGCATTTGTATGCACAACCTTATGTTCCTTGAGGTATTGGGGGAGGGAAAAACTCTTGGATCAGACTTCACACTTGTACTTCTTATTTGGGTCATGTGTCGTCTTGTGTCTCTTCAAGCTATGCTTGTTTGTAAAAGATTTTCCTCATCCCTTATGATCTCAGCAATACATCTTTTTATTATATGATAATTATTGAGCTTAAATTTCAATCGTCTGGACAAGTATAGGGGTTTTGGGGTTTTGGGGTTTTGGGGTTTTGGGGTTTTGGGGTTTTGGGG